CTGATTTTCTAATGTAATTCTCTCTCTTTTTGTTTGTTTCTAATAGTCTTTCCTTTACCTAGCTTGGTATATGACTATGTCAATCCTTGGCCATTACAACAACTTTTTCTTTGCTGCTCATCTCCTTGACATTGCAATGGGATTCAAAACACTACGAACTATTCTATCATCAGTAACCCACAATGGCAAACAGGTATCAAGCTTCATCTCATCTTTGTGCTAAATGAATGATCAGTTAGGTTTGGCTCCTACTTATCTTCAAACTGACTAGGAAAACTTTTCTTGAGGATTGACAATAGTAATGTTCTTTAATTGCAAAGCTTTGTTTTGTGTTGATGTGGAAGCAAGACAACAGGATAATCATGAATTCTAAAGTTCTATTTCAGATATATACAGCATTAAAGAAAATAAGCAGGTTTTCCTATCAGTTTTGTTCTCTTAGAGAAGTCTTATTGCTCTGAGCTTTGACTTCTGGCATACTTCAAGGCTTAAAAGTCCAACTAGAAGAAAAGGCCCACACAAGCATTTGCTTCAGAGCAAATACAAGCCACCCTCTATGGGTGCAGAGACTCTCCTTAGCAATACAGCTGATGTAATTTTGCTACACAAGGAGGGGATATGGTAAGATTTGGGAGCTTACTTTATCATGTCTCCTTGTTTACCACCATGCTATGTGAGAAGCAGAGAGGGGGCTAGAGGAGCTGTTGCTACATAGATCCTTTGATTATGCCACCTTGTGCAGAGAGTGCTTTAACACTCCAGTGCAGTGGTCCCCAACACGGTGCCCGCGGACACCATGGCGCCCGCGGGGACATTTGTGTGCGCCCGCCAAATGCTTGGGGCTGGCCTGGCCCCGGGCACGTGGTGCATGCATGGTGCCGGAGCCGGTCCCGGGCACGTGGCACATGGTGAGCGCCGGCCCCGGGAGCGCCGCGAATTGGCCGCCTGCGCTCTGGGCACGCGACGCAGTAGGTATTTACTCTGTAACCTGCTTTACCTCCACAGTCATGAATCTATCCAGCTCTCAGCTAAACTACATAGGGTCGGGGAGCTGATTAAACTGACCATGCATATTAGGATTAAAGATTCTGATAAATTAATCATTGCTTTTAAAATATTTTGATGGCAAAATGCAACACTGTTCAAGGTGGCTAGAGGTGATTTTGACCACAGAAATGTTAACCCCAGAAACGGCATTCCATGATTTTGCTATTTGTAACTCCTCAACTGGCAGACTGCTTTTTACATCACAAAAGATTCAATTTAAAGTAATATTTTTTTGCTCCAGTTTAATTGTAGAGTGACTTGCAGAAATGGACTGTTATGCCATATTTTAAGCAAATAAATGAAGATGGAATGTAGGTCTTTATCAGTCTCTTCACCTGCATGAATGAGAATGATTTGAGCAGCTATTAGCTCCAAAGTGCATCCTGCCCTCAGCTTTGTTGTCCATATAATCAATTTCACAGGCAACTGCTTATAGTAAGGATGCTAAGAGGGGGGAATTGGGTAATCATGTAGTTGATACAATTTGTATCGACTACATGATTAGTCGATAGGGGAAGGAGCTACCCCTGCTGCGGCTCTGCAGTTTAAATGAGTTTGGCTTGGTACTCCCCGCGGACAGGGGCTGCAGCAGCAGGGTATGGGGAGGGGGGAATGTGAGTAGTCAACTCAATTACTCGGTACGCCTAGGCTTATCAGGTAGCTGCCTAATCGACTACTCTTTTACATCCCTAGCTTATAGTCTAAATTAGGTGTATCATCCCTCACACTGAAGGGCAGGAGGGAGTTCTTTTTGTTTGCACACATTCTCCCCGCGGACAGGGGCTGCAGCAGCAGGGTATGGGGAGGGGGGAATGTGAGTAGTCAACTCAATTACTCGGTACGCCTAGGCTTATCAGGTAGCTGCCTAATCGACTACTCTTTTACATCCCTAGCTTATAGTCTAAATTAGGTGTATCATCCCTCACACTGAAGGGCAGGAGGGAGTTCTTTTTGTTTGCACACATTGACAAGCTATTAATGAGTTTTTATTACCTAAAGCAGGGATTTTTAAACTGTACACTGTGAAGCTCACCAAGTCTGTCTGCAGAACTAAATATATTTTTTCAGTGTGAGGCAGCAGGGTTCTTGAGCTATTCGGAAGTGAGATTTGTCAACGGAATTAGAAGGTTGGTAAACACTGACCTGGAGATGTTGCTTTAATTTGGAAAGGATGGACTGTATATACAGAATATTGTATGGTAGTAAACTCACACCAAGCACTGAACTGAGAATATTTTACTCTTTTATATGAAATTGTCAGATGAAATATTTTAAACCAGTATGAAGAAAACCCAGAACTTCCCTCTCAATACTGGTATGGGATAGATAGTTAAAAATCATTTTTTCTGCCTCTCATCCCATATTGGTTATTTTAGGAAACACCAGGTGTTCTAGGATCTACTTGCTTGAAACACGAAGGAAATACGGGGGGATATGTTTTAAGGCAAAGAGGAAGTGGCCACCCCAAATCTCTGCTTTGTCTTTTCTGGAGGCCCTCAAATATTTGTAGAACTATGGATTGGGGCTATTGTGTTTCTATTCCATGATCTCTGCAGGGGGTGGTTAACACAACTCTCAGTAGCCACTACAACTTTAGTTAAATAAGTTTAAACCAATTTTCATAGCAGCTGCCATGGATTCTGGGAGTTGAAATCTCCCTGACAGACAGAGGCGTAGTGAGGGGTGGGGTGGGGCAATTGCCCCCAGGTGCCATGCTAGGATGGGGCACCAGTTTAGCTGCCTGAGAACAGCCCCTGCAGCTCAGCCTGAGCAAGACAGTAAGACCCAGCTTTCTTTTACACTGACAGCCTCTGTGCGAGATCGGAACAACCCCACCATTGCAACCTGGGATTCAGAGGATGGAAAGGTGGCAGCTGTAGTTCAGGGCTGACTGTGACTTCTGGCTTCTCCTGGTCTGGCTGGAGGCTGGGGTGCAGCTGCAGGCTGGGCAGACCCCAAAGCTATGAAACCCCCAAGAGCTGCAGGGACAGTTGCAGGAAAGAGCCAACCCCTAGAGCTAAGTCTCTCCATTTGCTGGAGGGGAGTAGATGGAAACTGGTGCCAGCTCCTGAAGTCCCTTGCCCCTATGAGAATCTGCCACAAGAGCTGCATCGCACTTACCACTGGCCAGCCTCAGTAAACTACCCCCTCCTTCCAGTGCCCTGCTGTGAGCCCTTTACCTCCTACCACTCCTGCACCCTCACTTCCATCCCTGAGCCCACCCATTCAAACACCAACCTCCCGAACCTCCCTCGTGACACCAGAACTCCCTGACCTGAGTCCCCCTATGTGTCCCATCCCTCTGCTTAAGAACATGAGCAAAGCCGGGGACATTGCTCGATGTTCTATAGAGACCTGCTCTTACCCCAGCTACGCTGCAGCGGTTGCTTGCAACACAATGCCACCTGGGACCTTCTCAGCAATTTTAACCCTGGTCCCTTTGCAGCCCGGCCTCATCAGCCTCCTTCAGAAACCCCAGGTCCCAAACTTCCTACCAGCCACTTTCCTGCTGCCAGGTTTGGTGCGGACACACCTGATGCACACAGCGCGTTGCCACTGTGCAGAGCTCAAGCTATTTTCCAGCCCACATGGGTGCAATTCATCATCACCCCAGACCACTGGGCCCCTCTTGCCTTGTGGGCTGAGAGCTCCCACTTCTCACCCAGCAAGTTCTGCACTTTGGCCAGATGGGAGCAGCACAAAGGGTCCAAGCCAAACCCTGTTCGCATGTTCCCCTCCCAGCGCAGATTAGAATGTGTAAAGTCCCATAGGTAGGAACAAATGATTGGGGGGAGCAAATTTTGCCTTTGCCCCCGGGCACATAACACCCTCGCTATGCCTCTGATAACAGATGACTGTCTAATAAGACCCCATCTCCAAACAGACAAGTTATTTACTGCAATGTTGGTACAAGTATCTAGAGCATTGGAGAAGAGCTTTTTAAAACTAACTAAATAAGTGTGGTGTGTATAGTGGAAATCATGAGTCTTACACAGATATGCAAGCCAACCTGCTGCAGGCTTTGCTCATAGGACAATACAGTGTGTGAGCATGAATAAAATAAAATGATCCGATACATTAGTTTCTGGTGGGCAGCTTATAATTGTGTTGCTATTATATTGCTGCACTTTAGGCCTTGGTAGTGAGGTTAAACCTACATGGGCCAAAGAGTGCTCATACAGATACTATTGAAGGGCTGAGGTCTTAAAGTTATGCTCTGGAAAGTGACAACCATTACAGGCCTATGGACATATATTGTACATACCAGTCTGCTGTAATATCACCGTAGGTAACAATAAATTGCTGATTTTAAAAACAGGATATGCACAGAGACATGACATGTAAGATAGGAAAGTGAATGCAAGTGACTGATATCCTCCCTTGCCATCATTTAAGAAAGGCCCCATCCCAGTTAACCTAGTGTGTATAACTAGTGAACATAGAAACCCTAAGTAAACCTGGTTTAAAACAGGATTAGCCTGGTAACAGGAAGCACATTTTGGTCACACTAGTTCAAAGACCACTCATTGATATAATTACTAGATCTTAAAATTTAATCTATTTGAAAAATTGCATGAATTGCCTAGAAAATAGCTTTTTTTAAAAGTTGCAAACAATGAGAATTTATATGTTGAAAAAGCAAATCCTGCTCAGGTTTCAACTTGAAAATTACAGACCAGTGCGAAGTTTTTTCATTCGCTATTATTCATGCTTACCACGGAAGCACAAAATCTAGCTGTTTGCCCATTACTGTGTTGACTCATATTACAAAGAAAAAGTATGATTTTTTTTACTCTACTGTGTTGACTCATATTACAAAGAAAAGGTATGATTTTTTTTTTACTTTCCCATAATAAAAATAAAATTAGTTGTCCTAGGGCAAGTAGAATTTTGCAACATTGATGCATGCATGTTTGGAGAGACTTGCACAGATGAGTTATGTGCACTGTAGGTTGGTCAAATTTTAGCCAGCACGTGTCCTTTTAAATATCCAGATATGATTGAGCAGATGTGTAGCTTTTACACAAACCCATTAGAAGTTAAGTATATAAAGTGCAAGACTATTACCAGTGATATATTACTTCATAAATCAGGTAGTTATGAAAATTATCTGCTGAAATATTTGTTCTTTTCAAATATTTGCTGAGGGAAACTGTAATTCACTTATAACTGCTTTTTATCTGTCTCAAGACAGTATTTTAATATTGTAGCAATTAAGAATGAAGAAATTCATTGCCATTTGTAAGAGGAGACATATTGATATTAATATGCTTTTTTCGAGGATTCTTCAGGTATAATGGAAACTGCGTCACTATGAAATTGTCATCACACTAGATAGCAAACTCTTCAATGCCACTTTTCTAGCTGAACTCTAAAATGCATCAAACTTTGCAAGTTGTGTCCATGTAAATTGTTTTTCAAGTGTAGTTTTGCCTCAAAATGGAAGTACATGCTGATGAAGAAACACTTTCAAATAGAGGCATTGATTTACAGATTGATCAAAGAATACCCTTAAATCTAATTGTTCAGTAAATTTAAAGCTGGCTTTAACTTCCAGACTCCACCAAAAATTGTCTTAAATCTACATTCATTTAAAAATTTGCTTATTAAAATTTCAAGCACAAAAGCAAAGATCTTACATTTTTTAATATTCCATATACTTGTACAAAGCTAAGAAAATTAGAAGAACTTGAGTATTCTTCTTACTTTGCAGCACATTTGCTTGGTGACCTTGGGCAAATTCCTTAAGCTTTCTTTGCCTCAGCTTCCCATTCTGTGTAATGAGATTAATATTTAAAAACCATAGTAGGTAGATATGTCTTGCATCATTGATGTTCATAAAATACTTTGAGATCCTTGGATGGAAACTTCCATAGAAGACCAAAGTGTGTGTCCAACAAGCTCAGTGCCTACTGTATGTACGTAGTATTGATTTACATCCATGTTACCGTATTTTCCGGCATATAAGGCGACTGGGAGTATAAGACGACCCCCTAATTTTTTAGTTAAAAGATAGGGTTTCGTCTTATACCCCAGCGCCCCTCCGCCTCCTTTGCTTCCGGTGTCCCTGGTCTGCTGGAGACGGTCCCCAGTAGACCAGAGGCACCGGGAGCAAAGTGGCAGCAGCGGCGGAGTCCCGCGCCTCAGAGGCGTGTTGGGAGGGGAGGTTAAATAACCTTTTTTTTTTAAATGTGTAATTGTGTTGACATGGTAGAATTTCAGTTTCTCCTACCCAAGCTGTGGAGGGGCTCAGGCCAGGGGGCAGCACAGCTTTGCAAAGCCTCGGGGGAAGCCGGCGGGGGGGCAGCCCAGGCGCGCCTGGGATGTATACCCGGCGTACAAGACGACCCCCGATTTTTGGGGGATGTTTTTTAACATCAAAAGTCGTCTTGTATGCCGGAATATACGGTAATTTCCCAGACATTGGGTATTTAATGTAATAACTATTGTGCTGGAATGTACTTGTGTCTGCTCTGATACTATAAATAGGGAACAGGAATGTATTTTTAAGCTTGAAGGATAGAAATATTTTCTTTTCTACCTGTATGTAAGGACATATTGGTATGGATCTGAATTTACATTTTTGCTATTTTTTTTCTTTTGCTTTGAAGTTCAAGAAACATTTTAACAATTATGAATCAATTTAAATGCTCTAACATTACATAAAATACACTGATATTTTACTAAAATAAAAGACAAATTCCTTTTTTAAAATTGCCAGATTAGCAAGGGAGAGAGAGAATAAAGTAAGTTTATCTTCACCAGTAAATGTAGTATATTATTTCTCTTTTTCCCCTTCATATAAGAAAATTGCACTACATGCTTTCATTGTGTTAATACATTCATCATATAAATCTCTTTTCTAGCTTGTGTTAACAGTGGGATTACTGGCAGTGGTAGTGTATCTGTATACAGTCGTGGCGTTCAATTTCTTCCGTAAATTCTATAACAAGAGTGAAGATGGTGATATGCCAGATATGAAATGTGATGATATGCTAACAGTAAGTCTGTTTGCTTTTTTTCTCATCTTATTTAAGGTATTATTATATTTCCTGTTCTCTCTCCTCTACTCCATTCATGCAACTGTTCCTGAATAATGCCTATAGCCAGAAACATGGCTGCTCACAACAGGAAGATTATCAGTGAAGAGTGAAGGAATAAAAAAAAAATTAAATTTAGCCCTAAGGGAGTTATAGAATGTGTCCACATTATAAGATAAAAGAATGTGACATTGGTCTTTGCTACAATTTATCTGAGACTATAAAAATCCAAGTCAGAAAGTTGTTTTGCTGCATGAGGCTTTCTCAAAAATTACATGAAAATACTTCTGAATGCTACAATACTACAGGTCATGCACAGAGTTGTGTGGCTATTGTAAACTACAGGTAGAATCTCTCTAGTCCAGCATTCTCTTGTCCAGCAACATCCATGGTACACCATGATTTTAGTTAGCCAAATGTCCACTTATCCTGGTTTCCCTTGGTCCTATTATGTTTGTTTTACAGCCACCAGTCCTGGCTCTCAGTGTTCTGTGCTGTTATTTAGCTTTAATTCACTCCTAATTGTCTTCTAAGAGCACAGTAAGCAGTGGAAGTGCTGGTAATGCTGTTAGACAATACTGACTTCCCATGGTCTGGCAAATTCTCTGGTGCAGGTGCCGGTCTAAAGAGCTTTAACCTATATTGCTGTGACGGACCGGGCCAGGTCTGGGCACCACTGAGGGTGTCTGCTCAGGGTGAATTGCTCAAATTCGGGGTTCTCTATAGCCCCCCAGACTGGAGACCCTCCCAAATAGGCCACAAACCAGTGCCACAGAGTGCTCCAGCTGCCGGCTCGGACAGCCAGAGGCCTGACGAGCAAAACCCCTTCGACAACCCAGCAATATCCGTGCCCCAGATGGCCCCGGGCCTCATACACAGGTGAGGGGTTTTAGAGCCCAATCTCACCTTCCCTGAACAAGTTCTGTCCAGTTCCAAGAAACCAGCCACAGATCCCAGGTCAATTTCCCCTGTGGACCTTACTCACAAGATCACGCTGAGCCAATCCTTTACAATCTAAAGGTTTATTACTAAAAGAACGAAAAGCATGAGAGTAAGGCTGTTAAAGTATCATACATTACATGCATCGAATCTCTCAGTTCTCGATGCAGGCTCGCAGCAGAGATGTTATAACTGCTGGCTTAAAAGTCCTTGTTGCACATCCTATGTCAGGATGGATCCACAGTTCTTCCCGGCTCATGATTCCCTGCGAGGCCACATCTGGGGTCAGAAGCCGATCTGGAGACTAAGATGGAGTCGGTCACCTGGCCTATTTATCCCCCCTCCTGGCTTCTTCCAAGCTGGAGAGAGTCACATAATCTATGACCAGGTATCTAGATTCCTTCATAGGTAGGTCTCTGGTACTTAAGAGACCTATTTTCCTTAGAGCCTTGATAATTAGCATGTCCATAGGCTGAGCCCGTTGTTCAACCACATACAGAGAAACTTCCAGTCTCCACACAGAGTACATATTCATAACTCCACACAGACTTTATACTGATATATGAAGAGCATATACAGAACGAGTAGAAAGTAAGCTTTTGTTTGACACCTCACATGCCCCCCCTTCATACCAACTTTTGGGGCAAACACTCCTCCATGGGTGCAGCAGTGACCTGGCTGCTTCCGTTAAACTCCGTGAACGTGACATTTGCTAATATTTTCAAAAATAGGAGCCTAAAGATAGGGGTTATAAAACAGGGGTGGGCAATAATTTTTGCCCAGGGGCCCCTTCAAAATTTTTTGAAGGTGCCTCGAACCTCCCTGGCAGGGGTGGGCCTAAATGGGAAGAGGTGGGCCTACCCTACCCTCAGACTATAATTGGTCTGGGGGTGGGAGAACCTCTTTGCCCCCCCTTCCCACTAGGCATCCATGCCTTGGAAGAGGGTTGGCACGCTCCCCTATCTCCAGGCCAATCAGGGCCTGGAGGTGGGGGAGCACAGGAAGCCTTCTCCCACCCTGCGGGGAGCACATGGCACTTTGAAGTGCTGCGGCCTCATCACAGGGCTGGGGCAGGGTGAAGGAATATTCACGCAGCTCCCTTGCCCCCAGGCCTTGATTGGCCTTGGGGCGGGGGAGCACGCGAAGCCTCCTCCACTGTCCCCCCTGCCCTGCTAGCAGCACATGGTACTTCAAAGTGCCATGTGCTCCTGGCAGGGTGGGAGGAGGCTTTGTGTGCTCCCCCGCCCCCAGATCCTGCATTGCAGCTTGAGCCTCACAGCCAGCCAGCACAGATAGGGAGTTTAGCTGATTGGCAGGAGGGGGCATTGTCAAGCAGCTGCTAAATGGAGCTGCTCCCTGCTTGAAATGGAGCAGCAAGGTAAGGAAGTGTTAATGGCTTAGATTTATGAACACCTAAAGAGACAGATAGGTGCCTAATGGGAACTGTATTTATTTTTGTTTGGCTTTTAATGGGAGTTAAACATCTGGGGTTTTCTGGACTGCAAAGCAGTTTAGGCATGTATCTGCCTCTTCAGATATCCCAATACCTCTGTATATCTGGCTCTAGATCTAAAAACCAATGCTCTCATGGGAATTGTGAAAACTTAACACTTAAAACTTAACAAAAGCATAACTCATAAATTTTCCTTGTGTCACCAGAACTGGCTGAAATATGATCACCTATTTTCATAGAGGAGAAAAACAAAGTATTAACTTTATGAATTTATTTACATTTAAAAGCAGAAATATGATCACCTATTTTCATAGAGGGGAAAAACAAAGTATTAACTTTATCAATTTATTTCCATTTCAAAGCGTGCCATTTTTTATTTTTTCCCTTTTTCAAAATGTTCGACATCTTTTCTACTCCCCTCCCTTGGTCCACCAAAGATATCAGTGAAATTTTTCCTTTACAAAAGCCCCTCCAAAAACTGGTGCTAACTAGTTATAAAAGGCTTTCAAGTTTGAGTTAGTGAAGAGGCTTGACATTGTTTACACAAGAGGAACCATTTTGACAGTGTCGACAGTTTGGGATGAGAGTGTTGTTTTAGAAAAGAGTCCTTTCCTGCTCCCTAAAAGTGTTACACTCGGTGTTACATTCAGACGTTCGGGAGCATCTTCAGCTCTGCAGTGCAGACCCTCATAGAACTAGCTCAGCTAAAGGTAGTGTGTGTATGTCTCCCTAATCTGTAACTTACACCTAGAGCTGTAGTGTAGATGAACCTTTGGGGGCTTACCTAAGTTCACTCAACAAGTCTGGGATGGAGCCAAGAATTAAGGCTGTGTATCCCAAAGTAAGAAAGAAAAAGATTCTTTTTACAATTTTTTTTGGAGTGTTGCAGATATCTAAAACTCTGATCTTAATGATATTTTTTTAAAATCCTGTGTTACTAAAATGGTAAGATCTGCATCTTTATTTATTTATTAATGAAGCTGCTGTAAGTAGGACTATTATTGACTTTAAAAAGTGTTGACCTACGCTGACCTGTAAATAGAAGTGAATAAGTTAAATCTCGGCATGCTGCTTCTGAAGGGTTGCTGATCCCTGGTGTTAGATTTTGCTGATTCAGAGCAAGTTGCTTAGATCACTACAAAATCTAAAGAGTGTAATGACTTTTTGATGAATTTTTACATTTTATTTACCTGATTTCCGAATAACCAATACCACATATTTTAAAGAATTAGAAAAAATGTAGAAGAAAATATCACTAAAAACCTTTATAAAAATGCTATGGAGTTTTCTACAGGAGTGCACTTTTCTCCTTTGGTGTTGACTTTGTAAGTCTCAAATTACTGTGCCCTTCTATAATGATGCATCCAAGTTACAAATCTGGCTTCAGAATGGGAAAGCTCTACTATTCAAGGGTGTTCCATTTGTCTGACATAGCATGTAGTTCTGCGGTTTGCAAAGTGGCTCCCAGTTTTCTTGCTGCATTCCTTAATTGGATCAAATTCAGAAGGTTTTTAAGATCTGCGTTGAAGTTACATTTCTAATTATAGCAACGTGGAGATGTGTTGTGATCCTATCCTTATCGTAATACAAGAGGAGGATAAAGTATAAAAGAATCCAAACAATACAAAATCCAAAGAGTGAAAAAAACCCTGTGATTTGGAACAATTTGTGTAAGATGGCATGAAACGTGTAAGCTGATTATTCAGCTTCAAAAGAGAGTAATGACTGAATAAAACCCCTCAAGCCAAAAACCTATCAAAACACAAAACACTTGCACACACAATTTCCTTCCTGCAGGGAGGAAGAGAAAGAAATTAAACCACATGTGACAGATGGTAGTGGCATTGCTTAATGCATGGCTGGAAGGCTTTCAGATACTAAGGTGGCAAAGGTGACATATACACCTGAATAGAATGCATTTATTTCTCCCCATCCTTTGCAGACTACTCCATTTTCAAAGTGTGAAGGAAACTAATATGAAAAATCATCTAGAAGGCAATTTTGTCTCTTTTTTGAATTAGTAGAAATTCCCTTATTAATACAAATTAACAGCTCACAAAGCTTTCTAGTTCTGAAAAGATGTGGAAAAATACTGTTGCTCTTAATTACCATTATGTATGTTGAGAAGGAAATTAGTCTGCATGTAGCTCCCCAAGCTAAATGTGAACACTTCTGAAGTACAATAATGCTCAGTGAGAGCAAGGGTCATAGAATCATGGAATCCCTATTCTGAGTCTTTTGCACACAGGTAGCTGAATTCTTTACCCATGTTCATTTGGAGGCATACAATGCACAATTCCATATGCCTTTTCCTCCTTCTCTCACTGTCACCCCTTCCTCTTGACATACGTACATACATACATTACTTTTCAAAAATGCAAGATTTCTTGTTGTTAGTGTTGATTTTGTTCTCTTACAGTGTGATTTGTGTTCTGAAAAATTCTTATGTAAATGGCCCCTTCAGAGTTTCATGTTTATTATGTGTCACTGGTTTGATATCTCATTTAACACCCCTTAGCTCACAGTGCAGCACAGTGGGCCGGGTTAGGCTGGAGTAACCCCCTGCCCTTGTCAGGCAGGCGGCTGCTCCAGCCCGGTGAGGCTGCCGGTTAACAGGTAACCGGTAAGCATCACCCAATCAGGATGATGCTTATGGAATAACTGGTTAACTGGCTGACCGCTGACATCCCTAATACATGGCCTGGAGTCCTCAGTTCCTTCTCAACCATCCCCGGCCTGAGCTAGAACTCCATGGTCCCAAAGTACCTAGGTAGTCAAATCATTATTTAGTGTTAGTAGTTCTAGCACACCTTATTCCCCCCGCCCCATTTAAAAAACCCACCATTTTCTTTCCACTGACTAGCCCTTCTTATGCCATGCTCACCCGGTTTCAAACACTGCACATGATGCAGGGAGCCAATGCTCGTATCCAGTCCCACTGACTGGGTAAGGGAGGGGACGGTGAAGAGGAAAGGGGGCTCTGGCCACTTCTGCTGTTTAAATTGCTGCACGGAACACTGTAGCAGTGGGGGGGGGGAGGAGAAGTCAGCATTGCAGTCTGGGCAGTGCTGAGGGCTAGAGACCCTCGCACCTGCTGCACAGAGCCAGGCCCCCCACACACACCTTGCCCGGGGTCCTGTGGAAGCTGTTGGCCCCCATGCTGGTGTCAGACACTCACCAAACACTCACAATGTGTCTGTTGTCTGAGGGAAACCCACGTTCCCCAGAAGCGTACCTATTGCAGCGAGCATCATTTGCAATACAGAATCATAATGACTTGTGAAGTTGGGATGACTCATGAAAAAAGAAAAGAACCCACCTTGATTTTAAGATCCCAGAGTGGGATCTGTAAGGCTGGGAGTCAGAAAAAATGTTTTAATTCTTAAACTGAGTACATTTGATATGAGATCGTTGTGTTGTGATAAACAAGGAATGCCATATTGCTATTACAGGCAGTCCCCAGGTTACATACAAGATAGGGACTGTAGGTTTGTTCTTAAGTTGAATTTGTATGTAAGTCGGAACTGGTACATATTGTAGGGGAAACTCTAGCCAAACATTTCTCCAGAGCTCAGTTTTATTCTCCCACACCTCACTTCCCTCAGTCCTTTATTCTCAAGCTGAGGTGTCTGCTGAGAAAAGCCGCTCTGCGTCTCCCTGGTCTACTGGGGGGAAGCAGCTAGTGCGGGGTTGCCTCACCCCGTTTGTAAGTAGGGATCCGATGTAAGTCGGATCCATGTAACCCGGGGACTGCCTGTACTAGTCGCTCTTCAGAATGGAAGTGCAGTTTAATTATCTCTAACATGTCCTCTGAACAAGAATCCTTAAGAGCTGTTTTTCCTTTGAGGCTCTGAAGCTATACAATTTTTATAAAGATATACAATTTTATTTAAAAGACAATAGATTATAATAACAGTAATAATTATCACTTTTTTTACATTTCAAAAATAACTTTGAAAATAGTAACATCCTTTTCAGAGAGGTATTATCGTCTTCACTTGATATCTGTAGATACAGTCAGACACTTCATTATCAAATAAAGACACAGCAATTCAATTGCAGAGCCAAAATTAAAATATGGCAGTGTGTGTAGTGTAGCCTCATGCTTACTGCACCAGATCATGCTGTACAGATAAGAACACATACTTACAATAGTTAGCAGTTTTTTCAATCAGATAAAATTGTAATACATTTTTTCTTTTTGTTTTATGCTGAAGTTGGAAAACATGACATTTTTTAACTTAAATCTCAGCAGCATTTCCAATCTTGCTATAAGATACCTTCCCCATCAAAAAAGAGATCCTGTATGGTCTAGTAGATAAGGCACAGGACTGAGAGTCAGGAGACCTCATTTCTATTCCTAACTTTGCCACTGACTTCTGTGTGACTTTGTCCAATTTCATTCACCTCTCTGTGCCTCTGTTTCCTCTCCTCTAAATAAATAAGATAGACAGATTTGTCTTTCTCTGCCTTGCTTATTTAGACTGCAAGCTTTTTAGTTCAGGAACAATCTCTCTGTTTCTATAGTACCTAACAATGGGATCCCTTTCTCAGTTAGGGCTTTTACACATAACTATAATACAAATAAATAAGAAGTAGCCAAAGTCTTGGGAATTGGATTTTTGATGGTAATGTGTTCTCTCATTTTATCTCTTTTCCAGTGCTACATGTTTCATATGTATGTTGGAGTGCGTGCAGGTGGTGGCATTGGTGATGAAATTGAGGATCCAGCAGGAGACGAATATGAGATCTATCGGATCATCTTTGACATTACCTTCTTCTTCTTTGTAATTGTTATTCTATTAGCCATCATACAAGGTATGTATTCAAACCCTGTGGCCACAAGAGATATTTGAAACCATTGGAATCTTAAGTGACCCATTCATCCCTCCACATACATGAAGTATATGGGAACCCTAAAAGACCAATATTTCACCAAAGAAGGGTGATGATGGCTCGGTAAGATGTGTCTGCTCTGATACTATGAATAGGGAACAGGAATGTATTTTTAAGCTTTAAGAATAGAAATATTTCCCTTTCTGTCTGTGAGGACATATTGGTATGGATATGAATTTACATTTACATTTTTGCTATTTTTTTCTTTTGCCAGGATGTTCAAGAAACATTTTAACATTTACAAACCCATTTAAATGCTCTAAAATTGCATAAAGTATGCTGATATTTTACTAAAATAAAAGACAAATTCCTTTTTTTTAAATGCCAGATTGGCGCCGGGGGGGCGGGGGGGAGAGGAGAGAGAGAGAGAGAGAGTGAGTGAATAAAGTGAGTTTATCTTCACCAGTTTTCTCCAACTTCATATAACCCCCAGAGCGAGCATAGACAAGGAGTAGGTGATTCAGAGGAAAAACTGATGGAGGTGACAGATTCTTGGGGTACAGTCTGGAACTTCTGCCTGGCCTGTCTTTAATAATACTTTGCTAGCGACAAGCTGCAAAGCTCTCCATGTGCTGTAATCACATAATCAGCAACATTTCCGGACACACTCAGATACATTGCATGAATGCTCTCTAAGCCATTCATGAACCATACATAGGGAAACGCTTGCACCCTAGAAATGTACCATTTTACACTCCTCAAGACGTTCTCTTTAATGTGAGCTTCTATGTTCCTTGCCACTTTGTGAAAGGATAGTGGACATGCACCAGCCTTTGAAATTTGAACACACTCCCTAAGCAATTTAGACAAACTCTCTGATAAAGATATTAAAATAAGTTTATTAACTATAGAAAGATTTTTAAGTAATTGTCAATGTTAAGTGTAGAGGTCAGAGCTGGTTACATAAGAAACAAAGGTGAAATTGCAGTCTAAATTCCAAACTTTATCAGACTAACAGGGATACCAGGTATCCGGTATTGGCCTCTGCCGGGTAAAAAAACCCCGGTGCTTGGAACATTTTTTCCCTGGTGTGTTTGGAGGGGGGCAGAGGGAACAGGGGTATTTAAAAGCGCAGTGACCTTTTTTGTGCTTTTTTTTTCTTTTGGTTAACAACTTCGGTCACCTAGGGTTTTTGTTTGTTTGTTTGTTTTGGGTTTTGTTTTTTTGTTTTTTACTCAACCAATTTTTTTCCTGCCATTTTTGGGGGTTTTTGTGAAAGTATCTGGCAACCCTACAGACTAAGCAGGATTTGAATCAAGCAAACTTTCTTTTTCAAAAGGTATTTCAAAAGGTTTATCCAGTTTGGTTTCCCTCTTTAAGACTAACAGATTATAATTTGACAGGTCTTAACTCTATTACTTGGGCCTAAATCTTATCTCAATTTCACAGATTTTACAGGAGCAAACACCATTAAATTCAGTAGCGTTATTCTGATTTATACCATGAGGGAAGAATGAGGCTCTTTGTATGTATAATACATAGGTCTCTCACCTTAAGGTGCTTTCCCCGTCCCCCTCTGTTTCTGTGAGAAATGGGCCATTAGTTCTTCAGAGCTCAGTTAATGAAATTCCGAATTCCTATATGTACAGCCCAAGCCTCTTCCCTTACACTGTAGGTAAAACGTAGATACAATTTGTAGAGTAATGGGGTCTTTATTTAAAATAAATAAAAAAAAAATGATACTACTATGTACTTAGAGTTCATAGCCTTATTATATAAATACCACAGGAATGGCCAGAAGCTATGCGCAATCCTGCACATCCCAGAGTTAACTATGCTTGTTGCTTAGGGTACGTCTAGACTACATGCCTCTGTCGCCAGAGGCATGTAGATTAGGCTACCAGACATAGTAAAATAGTAAAATCGCCGCTTCATTTAAATTTACATGGCTGCTGTGCTGAGCCGACAAACAGCTGATCAGCTGTTTGTCGGCTCAGCACAGCAGCCATGTAAATTTAAATGAAGCGGCGATTTTACTATTTTACTATGTCTGGTAGCCTAATCTACATGCCTCTGGCGACAGAGGCATGTAGTCTAGACGTACCCTAAGCAACAAGCATAGTTAACTCTGGGATGTGCAGGATTGCGCATAGCTTCTGGCCATTCCTGTGGTATTTATATAATAAGGCTATGAACTCTAAGTACATAGTAGTATCATTTTTTTTTATTTATTTTAAATAAAGACCCCATTACTCTACAAATTGTATCTACGTTTTACCTACAGTGTAAGGGAAGAGGCTTGGGCTGTACATATAGGAATTCGCTTGTCCCATAATACTCAATTAAACAAGTATTTTAAAAAGTCCAAATATCTCTCCCAGTCTAGTTGGAGAGACTTGTTTTCTTTTTGCATGGTCAGCTTTGTTTCACATATTTAGACACTAGAATGATTTCATACTAGGTTTATACTATGTCGTCAGGAGACTACTTACCAATTGATCTTATCCTGTCAGAGTTCAGCTTTGGTTTCCATGGGTATGCACATTTTGTCACACTGTATTCTTGAATGTTAAGCATCATTTTTATTTAAACACCAGGTTTAATTATTGATGCTTTTGGAGAATTAAGAGACCAACAAGAACAAGTTAAAGAAGACATGGAGGTAAGAAATCGTAGACTCCTAATTGCTGCACCATAGCACACTTATGCAATGTGCTGGCGGCAGCAATGCCCATTCCTTATCCAAATGTGATGATTCAGCAGAGAGTAATTTTAAACCAACTGGAAAGTATGCAGTTTGCAGTACAACAAAGTATTAACCATCAAACAGCATACTGGACAAGATTCTGTCCTTAGTTACACCTCAGCGAAACCAAGTGAATTCACATAAATATAACTGAAAGTCTGGTCTGCAGAGATGATTTTCTATGTCTGACTTTTTTGACTGAATTACTTTTTAAATAGGTACTTACAGCAAACATATTACTATGTCACATAAAAGCCTACATAAACAATTCTGTTAGCATTCAATAGAAGAGTCTTAGTATCATTCCTTTTAATCAAAGTACTCTGCTACCAGCCAAGTTATAAATAGCATTTGCTGTTGCTCACTTCTGACTGTGAAAAGGGTACAATGAAGAAGGATATGTTTGGGCACTACCAGTTAGAATCATGTAGGATGATAGCCACAGTTCATCAAAACTAATATTTTGCTCTGGACACATTTTCCACCACCTGCAATCTCAGTTGGCTCTTTAGCACATCTGGCTTTTTTATAAATGATAAAATATTAAAACTAAGCCTAAACATCTATTTGTGTTCTTTCATGTGTCTTTTTATATTAATTCTAAGGATTTCATGTTATTTTAACTTTGTAAGCTGGTTCAGTTGAACAAAACTGACCTCAATGGTTTAGCGTTTAGAGTTTAGCTTGGAGTTTCCCAGTATCAATGAAACAAGATTATGAATCATAGCACTGCAAGGGACCTTGAGAGGTCATCTAGTTCAGTCCTCAATTATGATTAATCTTATGTGTGTATTTTCTTTGACTATCCTAAGTGAAAGTAGCCTGTTCCTGCAGAGTTCCCATTTTCTTGTTTAGATCTGACTGTCAGGGTTCAGAGGGCATCAGGTACCTCCTGTGTTCTGTAATCTCCAGTTAGAGCATATTCAGTTTCAGCTGGGTAAACATAACTACCATTGAGGTAACGATTCCTAGGGACTACAGTGACCCCCCTACATTCCTTTAAGTAGACTGGAGAAAGCAAGTAGGAAAAACTGCTTTTCAGCCTTGATTAATTCATGCCATCCTTTCTTCTGATCTATTTCCATTCAATTATTGATGCCAAGGATTTTTTTTTAGCAAACAGCAAGAAGTGATTGTGACAGCAATTACATTTCTGTTCATGTGCTTGGCTGAGGGTCAAGCTGAGTTCTTAAAGCAAAAGCCTTTTAGTAAGCACACATTATGTTTCATGTTTCAGAATTTCCAAATAAGTTGTGGTGTGCTTATTGGTGGTTTTTTTTTTTTCAAAGAAACTAGCACCATTATAGAAAATTTCAGCAATGTGTGTATTCTCTATGTTTGTTTTTTTTAGACCAAATGCTTTATCTGTGGGATAGGCAATGACTACTTTGACACAGTGCCCCATGGTTTTGAAACGCACACGCTACAGGAGCATAACTTGGCCAATTATCTGTAAGTACAGAATCACAAACTCTTCAGTAACTCATGACTCACACCAGCCTTTGCAACTAATTAATCAGGCCCACAAAATAAAGGAGAAAGACCAATGTAAAGGTTTTATATGTTCTCATGCTGTGTGAGTGAATGAGAGAGGTATACAGAGAGATTCCTTTTCATTTTTCTTGTTGTGATAGGAAGTTCAAGATTAAAGGTTGCCTGTGTAACCTTAATTCAGCACATTACGCATATATATTTTGATAGAGTATTTATTTACATGATTGCATACTATTTAAATCCATGGGTCCCCACTCTCATTCAGTCAAATGATGAGCCAGGGAATGAATTACTGATGTGTAGTGAAATAATCTTGTTTGTTGCAAAAATTGCAAGGTGTATAACAAATGAAGTAGGAAACAGCTAGAATAAACAGGATAGTCTCACAGATAAGGCAGTTGAACTCTGCCCTGGAGAATGGATTCTATCACTGTCTGTGCAATAGAGTCCCTATGTACTGCTAATCAAACTATTTAAACCATTTTTTTCACAAGTGATTATTAATTGTGTAATCTTGATTATCTGGGTGCCCAGTTTGAGACAGAAGTACTTGATTCTCATAGCTGAAACTGAAGTCAATGGAAGCTGCATTTGAATAAATGAAGTGCTATCTAATGCTAAGTACTCTGAAAAATGAGATCCTAGCTGCCTCAATCCAGACGTCCAAAATTAGTTGCCATGCTTTATATTTATATTTTATAAAAAGATCTGTCATGTCTAGAGAAATTGATTTAATATAAAAATGAACTAGATTATGAAACCATCACGTAGTAGGTAAATATGCCAAAGCATCAAGCCTAGATATAGTATTAACAAAACTACAGGGTTATATTCTACTGTCAGTTTTTTAACATCTCTATTGACTAGTTTGAACCACATCGTCTAATAAAGCACCCTCTTTAATAAACTGCTTAATAGACTGATTCTAAAACCCTTAATCATCTTCAATAATGTTTGTTTGTGAAAACAGTTTCCTTGACTATTCATCAACATAAATGTCTACATTCAGGCCCTAATTCAGTGATTTATTTCAGTAATAATTTTCATAGCTGGGGTATGGGAAAGCTTCATCTAAGCATTGTAATTGCTAAACCAAACTTGTATCTCTCACTCTTTTGAATGTCATCCATTATTAATTTTAATCTCAAAAGTGTCAATATTGTGTGTGTATATATAATATTTTGTATGTCATGCTTATATTGTGTATCCATGAAGAGAATTACTCTTATTTTATAAAATATAATGGCAAAAATCCATCTGTCTGTATTTCCCCTGGGTTTTCTGATATTTCCATGTGCTTGTTTTGATTAACATATCTTTGTCTAGGTTTTTTCTGATGTATCTCATTAACAAAGATGAAACGGAACATACAGGACAGGTAAGTAAGCACTGTTTACACTGGTACTATTTAAAAAGTTCTAGTTATAAAAGACTGGAATATTCAGTAAGGTACCACTGGATGAGAATTCTAACCAATCATATGAAGCTCTCACTGTAAAACCAGTGACTTCATTCAAAACGTTCCTTAAAACTGACTTATTTTGGCCAGAGTTTGATTACTAACCTTTTCTTTAGCATCTTTGTACCTGTTCTGCTACTTGATTTTTAACTTTTAAAATTTATCTCCCCAAAAAAAGCATGAAACAAAAATTTGAACTGACAAGATACATAAAATCATAGAATTCTAGAATACTAGAACTGGAAGGGACCTTGAGAGGTCATCGAGTCCAGTCTCCGGCCCTCATGGCAGGACTAAGCACTGTCTAGATCATCCCTGATAGATGTCTATCCAACTTGCTCTTAAATATCTCCAGTGATGGAGATTCCACAACTTCCCTAGGCAATTGATTCCAGTGTTTAACCACCCTGACAGTTAAGACGTTTTTCCTAATGTCCAATATACAAGAAATCATTTGACTTTTTCTTATTGACTATTTTCCTCACACTTTTTGACTATTGTTATTGTTACTTGGTTATTTTGTAGTTTATACTGTGTTTTCAAAGCCAGGAGAATGCTATCTATCTCTGTAAATACCATTTGCTCCCATCGTATTGTATAACCAGTACTGAACTGTTGTGCTTTTTATAAGAGATGGGCTTATTACCCATAAGGACAAGTGAGGCTTGCACCTTTTAATGAGGCAAACAACTCATTGAAACTTTCAGATTGGGATAACCATTCACACATTTGGCAAGGGGAGAAGAATGTGTTCATTATGTACAACATGTAACTGTGTGTCCATTAATGACAGTACAGCCCAGATAAAAAGGAACTTCAGGCAGGTGACATTTATTTAAGAGAAGAACAGATAAAACTGAAGCATCTTAAATTTCACAACATTTTATCCAAAATGAAATTCTGATCACTTGCTCTGCTCTGCCTATTAGTCCCTACACTCCCTTCTCCTCTCCAGTCCCCAGAGAGCAAGGAGGCAGGATTGTGAAGCCCTTCCCTTGTCAACAATAAGGTGTGCCTGGCATGCTCAGAATTCCCTCTGAGAGTAATCTGGAAAGTGGTTAGTATTTGTAGGTCCTATATACACACACATTGCTTACAGAACAAGAGATTACAGTACAGCACATGGATACAACACATTTTTGCTCAGTTTAAGCTGTTCTTTTTAAAATCTGACCAATATAGTAAACTACTATCATCATGTTACAACTATATATGGCCCGTCAGTCTTTATTGGCTGTGCTTTTTATAAACTTGTTTTATTATTTCTCAATATTTATTTTATCCTTTGATAACGACATGTTAAAATGGACTAGAATGTTTACCTCTATTTTATCAATTGTTAACATTTGTTACAGAAAAATACTGCTGCATTTATGTTTCTCCATTATTTGACATTACTTATTGTGAGTTCATTAACTGCGTCCAGACAGTAACTACCAGTAATCATTTCAATCTTGAGAGTTATACAATGCTTTCATTTAGATATGGGGAGTGAGAGCACACTCTGAGCTATCGGATCAATTGAATCTTCCTGACACTGTTATTTGCTATAATAAAATGCTGACTTATTTTATTTTTCTGTATTATTCAAAAGCTGAAGAGTCACCCTTAGAAATCTGCAATACAGGCAGTCCCTGGGTTACGTACAAGATAGGGACTATAGGTTTGTTCTTAAGTTGAATTTGTATGTAAGTCGGAACTGGCTCCAGATTCAGCCGCTGCTGAAACTGACCAGGGGCTGACTACAGGAAGCTGGAGGCAGAATTGCTCTGCCCC